CTGGTTTGTTGAAATTGATTTTTTTTTCATCAAGTTTCAGGTAACAAACTCAAGTTGGTGTTTGGCCCGATTAATATATAGTTGTGTTAGTTGTGGAATTTAACGATTCAATCGAACCAATTTCGAAAATGCCATTATCAAACTCAAAATAATCCTTTGGAGGTAGTAGAAATCGAAATCGAGTGTGTTACCTTTACATCACATGGTTTTAGTATTTTTACAGACTTTTTTGTTTGCCTCGTTTCGATGACCACAGAAGAGTTACTGAATGGTGCTTTTGCTTTCAATGACTAGTATAGTTCTCGTATATAAACGAGACAACTCAAGTGGTGGACTATACGAATAAAAATAAGTTGTTCTGATTAAATATATGTTTATATGTTTCTGATATATTCCGCATGCATAATAAACCTTTGAAATTGGATTATCTCGACTTTTCAGCCTATTACTGTGACATTTGTGTTGGGTCCATCGCATGCCGCTTTGAGAAGAAGGAATGTGGTGCTGTTCGTGTTTACATAATGACTTTGGGTGTTTTGGCTCCATATCGTGGCTTAGGTATTGGTAAGTCAACAGCCAGCTCGTCTTTTTTTTTTCCTTGAAATTTGTCTAGAAATATAATGCGGGTTTTTTTAAAAGCTAAACTTGTGAGAGTTTGATGCTAAGTGTATATGAATGTGAAATCCTTGATGATTTTATTTATTGCTCGTTTTTCATCAAATCAAGCCTAAAACTAATAATACGAAGGACTCAATCTCATTATCTTTCACTGTCACGAATATTGCAGTATCCAAGAATATCAAGATTATATATTATATAAACGAATAATTTTATAATCCAACGCTTTGATGTGGTGTAGGTGCAAAGCTGGTGAATCATGTGCTCGATCTTTGCACGAAGCAGAACATTGGGGAAGTGTACCTTCATGTGCAGACAAACAACGAAGAAGCCATCAAATTCTACAAGAAGTTCGGATTCGAAATCACAGAGACGATCCACAACTATTATACAAATATCACTCCACCAGATTGTTACGTTGTTACTAAGTTCATCGCCCAATCTCAGACGAAGAAATGATGCATGGGAAGCTAGGTTTTTTACGCAGTTTTGGGATCTGAAGAACTGTTGAGCTCTATATATATAGATATATTTCTTTATATCATTCATTATTCATATGTGATGGTCTCAAATGTGAAGTTAAAGAGAGTTGAATTTCTATTTTTGTAGTGTTTTTTAGTCCTATGCTCAAAGTTTAAAAGTCAAGAGTTTTGTGTTTGCTTGTTTTAACTCTGTGTGCCCTTCGTTTAAGTGTAGTTTGTAGTGAACTACTATTTCGATACCCATTTTTTTTATTGAGGAAAATGCGTTTGGAACTTCATCGGCATGCTTACTGAAAATAGGTAAAGACGAGTTTTTTTTCGAAATTTCATAAATTGTTTCTTCTTGAAATAAAAAAAAAGAAATAAGCTTCATATCAAAATACTTTAAAAACGTTGAGTAAATGGTGTTAGGACTTCTTTTACTATGGAGACGTCGTAAGTTCGAAAACCGTTGGTGCATAAGTTGTAAATGTCATTTATAAGACTAATTTTACAAAATACTTCACATAAAAACTAAAATTACAATAAAAATAATAAAAAAGAATTTTTTAACGTGGGGATATGTTGTTCCAATTCTTTTGCTGCATACAATAAGTGGTAATTATCATTTATTAAAATTAACTTAAAAAAAAAAGGACAATTAGGAATACTACTCAAATCTAAGGTGATTAGGGATTAATTAGGACAATTGTTCTTTTCAATTAGGGATAATAGTTTTTTTTTTCTCCAAAATATTAACACAATGTTTTTCTTGCTTCATATATAACGATCAATTTTGCTTTCAGGAAGTTGACTGACCAAGTCGATTAAATCAAGTCAACTAATTTTTTTTTAATTTAATTACCTAAATTTTTTTTATCCTAATTGTCACAAAAAAATAAAAAGCTTAATAGAAAAAGATAAAATTATAATAAAAAAAAGTATTAACTTATAAAATTTGAAATTAAATTCTTTTTTGGTAGAAAAGCATTTAACATTTTTCTCACTCCCCAAAAATAAAAATAAAATAAAAAACATTTTTCTGTCACTAAAAAAATGGCCGAGTAAATTTGACAGCCGATTAGGGTTTCCCTACAATGGACCCATTTCACCGTTCGATGTATATATTTTCAGCCCTAAAAATCCAATGTCAATCTTCTCTCTCTAATCTCCCCTTTCCTCTTTCTCTCTCTAAAAAATATTATTATTCAAGAGATCACTGCTTTTTTCATTTTTTCTGTGTCCTAATAAATAACAATCATTGGCGAATAGAGAAAGTAGGAGGAGAGAAATTAAAAAAAAAAAGAAAAAAGGAAAAAAGAATACACCGACATCGCAAATCAAGAGAGAGAGAAGAGAGAGAAGGAGGTGCAAAGTTTGTTTCTTTTCTTCTTCACCCACCCCTCCTTCTCCGGCGGCGCCTTTTGCCTGCCGGAAAAACAAAAAAAAAAAAAAAAAAAAAAGACAATCGAAATTTATTCTTTTGCATGACAACCCTCTTGTTGTTTTTTGGTCCGGTCGACGTGTAATTAATGTCTGGACCGCCCATATTGTAGTTTTCCTTCTTTCCACCAAGGTCAGGTTTCTTTTTATTTTATTTTATTATTATTTATTATTTTAAATCTATCTCATGCAGTTAGGGTTTCATGCAATTTATATTCATATATTCTTTGTTGCGTTTCTTGAGATATTGGGTTTTGTTTAGAATATATGGTGAATTGGCGTGATTGAAATTTATTTCCAAGATTATATTTTTATATTATATAATGTTGCTTTCACATGTTCTTGATTTATGTGTATTATGACATTATATTCAATTCTGTGATTTTTCGATTTTCCGATTTTCCAATTGGATATTCGTTTTCGAAATGTTGATTTATTTGCATGGTTTTCGTTCAAGAAGCTCCGGGGACGCCTCTTTTTTCCGGGTTTTTTTTTTTTTTTAAATTATTTGATTGTCTTGTAATTTTTAAACGGAGATTACGAAAATAAATCGTCTGGGATTTAATTTAATGATATATGCTGTTGAGTGTTGATAGGTATGTTCTTGATGGGGATTCAATGATGTTTGACTAATTTTTTGGAATTTAGTCATAGGATTTTCATGATTGTTTTATTACATGGAACTTTTCTTAATTGCTCAATTCGGTTTTCATCGTGATTATCGACAAAAAAAGAATTCGTACGTTATAGATGTGAACAAAGAGGATTTGCATGTGCAGTGCTGTCGGTTTTACGAACAAATTGACATTCACAACAGAAAACTGTTTCATCTTCGTAGTTGTTTCCAATCATTTTCGGTGTGACCAGAAATCAATATAATAATCCCACGTTTCTCGAGACATGTTAATTATCTTTGTTTCTTGCAAGAAATTAAGGATAATTTTCTTTAATCTTAATTTTTAATTTATATTTGATTGATTATCAGAAAAATGGATCACCTAAAAACTCCGTTCAAGGGAGTTTCGAATGATGTTAAAGGAAGGCTTGCATGCTACAAAAAGGACTGGCTCGACACATGTGGCTCCGGTGCTAGGTCCCGTTTTTTTTATACTCTCAAAAAAAAAAATCGATAATTTTTTTTTATAAGTATATCGAATTATATTAATTAATTCGATTGCGCTTTTCAGGATTTTGGCTCCAACTGCATATATTTTCTTTGCTTCTGCACTACCCGTGATTGCCTTCGGCGAGCAATTGAGTCGAGAAACAGGTGATTTTTTTAAAATTTAGAACATAAAGTAAATATACCGATGATTTTACGAAAAAAAATAATTTTGTTTTTTAAATAAATAAAAGATGGGAGTTTAGGTCCGGTTGAAACGCTCGTTTCCACGGCTATATGTGGGGTAATACACGCAGTTCTTGGTGGGCAGCCATTGATGATACTTGGAGTTGCAGAGCCTACAATCATAATGTACACGTATTTGTACAATTTCGCAAAGAGCAGCATCGGAAAAGAACTTTATTTAGCTTGGTCCGCATGGTACGAAAAAAGAAAAAAAAATCTCGATTCTTTTTTTCGGTGTTTGTAATTTTTTTAATTATTATTATTATTATTATTTTTTTTAAATAAAACAGGGTCTGCGTATGGACCGCATTGTTTCTGTTTCTTCTCGCCGCGTTCAACGCTTGTACAATCATCACTCGATTCACGAGAGTTGCGGGCGAACTTTTCGGCATGTTAATCTGTGTTCTTTTCATTCAAGAAGCTATTAAGGTACTCTACTATATTTTTTTTAATTTTTATCTTTTCTTTTGGTAGTAGCATAATAATTTATTTTTTTAAAAATATATAATCAGGGTGTGGTGAGTGAGTTTCACATTCCGAAAGGCGAAAACGGATCGAAAGAGCAGTTCCAATTTCAATGGCTCTACACCAACGGCTTGCTCTCGATTATATTCTCTTTCGGCGTGCTTATAACTGCCCTCAAGAGCAGAGAAGCTCGATCATGGCGTTACGGTACAGGTATCACATGATTTATTTTAATTTTCATTAGTAGAAATTTTATATTTTACTTTGAACTAATTTTTTTTTCTTTTTTTTTTTTAATTTTTTCGACAGGCACTTTTCGGAGTTTTATTGCGGATTACGGGGTCCCGCTTATGATTGTAGTGTGGACAGCATTATCGTACAGTGTACCTAGCAATATTCCTTCCGGTCTTCCTCGGAGATTAATCAGCGCTCTTCCTTGGGAATCGGAATCTTTGTATCACTGGACTGTTGTTAAGGTAGTACTAAATTTTTTTACGAAAAAAAAATTGCGTTTTTTTTTTCAAAAGTTGTGATTTTTTTTTTTTTTTTTTTTTAGGACATGGGAAAAGTATCGGTGGGGTATATATTTGCTGCGATTATACCGGCGGTGATGATAGCGGGCTTGTATTTTTTCGACCATAGTGTTGCTTCGCAGATGGCTCAACAGAAGGAATTCAACTTGAAGAATCCATCGGCTTACCATTATGACATACTCTTGTTGGGATTTATGGTACAGGAGAATTATTAATATTTATTTTATATATATATATTGAAATTTCGACTTGAGTTAAAATTTTGTGGATTATCAAGACTTTGCTTTGTGGATTACTCGGACTTCCTCCTTCGAACGGGGTGCTTCCGCAATCTCCTATGCATACTAGGAGTCTTGCGGTTCTTAAGAAGCAGGTGATTTCCGAGTATATATATATATATATATATATACACGTGTGTGTGCGTGTTCTTGTTTGTGTATGTATGTAATGTTTGATTGACAGTTAATTCGGAGGAAAATGGTGAAACGTGCAAAGGAGGGCATGAAACAGCAAGCGAGCCACTCGGAGATTTACGGGAGAATGCACGAGGTTTTTATTGAGATGGAAAGTGCTCCTTCTGTAAGTACCTCTCTCTCTCTCTCTCTCTCTCTCTCTCTCTCTCTCTCTCTCTCTCTCTCTCTCTCTCTCTCTCTCTCTCTCTCTCTCTCTCTCTCTCTCTCTCTCTCTCTCTCTCTCTCTCTCTCTCTCTCTCTCTCTCTCTCTCTCTCTCTCTCTCTCTCTCTCTCTCTCTCTCTCTCTCTCTCTCTCTCTCTCTCTCTCTCTCTCTCTCTCTCTCTCTCTCTCTCTCTCTCTCTCTCTCTCTCTCTCTCTCTCTCTCTCTCTCTCTCTCTCTCTCTCTCTCTCTCTCTCTCTCTCTCTCTCTCCAACTTTGGATGTTTTGGTTGCAGCAAACCGTGGAGAAAGAGTTGGCGAATCTTAAAGAGGCCGTCTTAAAACACGACGACGAAGGTGAAGCAAACGGACAATTCGACCCGGAGAGATGCATCGACATGCATTTGCCCGTTAGAGTAAACGAGCAAAGAGTGAGCAACTTTCTCCAATCAATACTCGTGGGCTTAGCCGTTTGTACAATGCCCGTTATCAAAATGATTCCCACATGCGTCTTGTGGGGCTACTTCGCCTACATGGCAATCGACAGCCTCCCCGGTAATCAGTTTTGGGAGAGAATCTTGCTCATCTTTGTCCCGCCACGTAGGCGCTTCAAGTACGTACTTCTTTTTCTTTTCGATATTATATTCATTCGCAAAAAAAAAAAAAGAAAATAAACAACAAATTTTTTTTTTTAATTTATTTGGGCAGGGTGATAGAAGAGTTTCATGCTTCGTTTGTGGAGACGGTGCCTTTCAAATACATATTCATGTTTACGGCTTTTCAGTTTGCGTATCTTCTGATGTGCTTCGGGATTACGTGGATACCTATTGCCGGGATTCTATTCCCGCTACCGTTTTTTCTATTGATAAGCATAAGAGAGCATGTTCTGCCTAAAATGTTTCCACCTCAGCATCTTCAAGAACTCGATGCCGCTGAGTATGAAGAAATCGAGGGGCGGCCCGTTAGAGCTAGGGGTCAATCTCAGAGGGTAAAATAGTCTTTTCCTTTTGTTTTCATTTTTCGTTATAACTAGAAACGAATGACTAACACGTAAAATAAAAAAAAAACAGGACGACGAATCAACGGCTGATGTTGATGAGGACGAAGATTCTGCCGAAATATTAGATGAGATGACGACACGTAGAGGTGAAATCAAGCGCCGGTCGATGAGCTTCAATGATAAGCAGTTTCAGGTAAACTAATTTATTTAGTTATTTAATTAATAATGGGAGAGTTTGATGTAATAAAACATTTATGTTATTACAGGTTTTTCCGGACGAACCTGCTGCGCATTCGTGATGAAAAATTATTCCCACTTTGAAAGTGTTTCTCCAAGAATATAGGAAAAAACGGTGAAAGATTTGAAGGGATAATCGGACGAAGGATAAATGTATGTTATAATCGAGAGTCGGATTTTTAGAAATTCCCTTCGGTTTTTTTGTTTGGATTTTATTAAATTGAACGTCGAAAAAATTTAACTAAAGAAAAGAAAGATATTGTGACATTAAAAGCAAGCTACTCTCTTGCAGTTCATTTGTAATGTAAAGTTGTGTTGCAGAGAGGGATTTGAAGACACTGATTGTTTTTTGCTTATTCATTTGTTAGAACATTAGACAGATGGATTCAAGATTTGTTTTCTTTTATTTTTTTGGAAAAAATAAATGAATTATATTTGTTGCTTTTCGTTTTGGGCTAACTTTATTTATTTCGGTTGGAATTTGATCATTTACGGTCAGAGCAAGTTCGAGTTTCCTTGCCAGCAGTCACTAGGTCGAGCTTTGTCGCACGTGGTTAATATATTGTTGTTTACGTTTCTTGTATAGCTATTATACGACATAAATTCTAAGTTATATTTTGCCTTGTGCTTTTTATATTGGTTCAAAATAATAACATTGTTGTTAAATATTTCAATTACCTTTATTTGTACGATAGACTACAATCATCTCCTTGAGGTAAAGTTCAACTACGAAGAAAATCTCTTATTTTTGAAAAATTGCTTCCAGTCCCCAGCAATTTGTAAATTTCTTACATCCACCCACTTTTGTAGGGTGTTAATGTAAGAAATCTACAAATTGCAAGGTGTGGATGTCATTATGGAAAACGAAGGGTTTTTTTCGTAAATAGACCTTACCTCAAGGGTTAATTGTAATTTTGTTTAAGGAAATGGAAAATTAATTGCAGACTCGTTTTTGGTTAGATTTACCCTAAAAAAAAAAAAAAAAGAGGATAAAATAATTATTTAAAAAATGCTGCATTTTTTATGTTTGACAAATTTTACCAAAGTAATGCATCTTGTAAGAACAACATATGATCCCTTTATGATTATAGTCATTGTTTTTCCAAGATTGTAGTGTTTTCTATTGACGCTGATTCTTCTTGCATGAACTATTTCACATGTTTGATTCGATTATACATTGTGTAATTAACTAACAAAATTCTTCCAAAAAGTTATTGAAAAAAAAAAGGAGTTACACTTTATGTGGTGTTTCGATGAAGAAAAAATCGTGTTTTATGACCTACCATTTAACTAGCCAAAAAAAGATGATCGCCGTCTCGTATTACAGCTAATTCTTCGATTAATGCTCCGTCTTTCGTAAGAACTTTAGTTGGATTGAACCCGAATTTCTGAAACCCCAAATCTAACAAATCTTGAAAATTTCCCGGCAAAAGCACGAGTTTTCCTTCTACGTCGTCCCTTTCGGTACATCTAAGGATCACTCTAGCATGCTCGCGTGGCATAACAAAATCCGGGGGAGGTACAAAATGACCGCTTATTTCTGCACGATGTCGTCATTATATAAATATGTGTGACTATGTAAGTAATGATGCAATAATGTTCTTTAAAATGTTTTGTAATATATATATAATCTTGATTAATGTGTACCTTCATTTTGTCTCATGCCGGTTGTGATGATCCCCGCAAGTGAATTTTGAAAACTGTTAGCCCCCGATCTCACGTGGGACCCACCCAAATCCGCCTCCGTGGCGTTTGATGTTTTTTGATCGGGAGTCATGTGAGGCATCGTCGGCTCGCTCGAGTACTTTTTAAGGTACGGTGCTTCGGGCATTTCTAGGGTTAGGCTCGCACTTTTATGGTGCGTTTTTTGTTTTTCCGAATCTACCCCTATTGTTCGAAAGAGGGCGTTGATCTCTTCGTGGCCTTGGTACTCGGCCAACGCGCGCGGTGTCCACCCGTGCACGTCGACCTTGTCTATGTCGGCCCCGTTTTGGACAAGGAACTTGACCACTTCGACGTTGTCTTCGGATATTGCGGTGTGGAGGGCGGTGGTCCCCATGCTATTGAGCAGTGTGATGTCACCGCCGAATTTAATGATTTTTTCGAGCAGTTCTATGTTGTTCTGCTCGGCCGCATGGCACGCGTATTGGCCCACGTCACCAGAAGATAACGTGGCCCCGTTGTCTACGAGGGCTTTAATCACGGGCTCGTGGTCGCCCAATAGTGCATCCCAAAGTGGGACGTTTCCTTCTGAATCTGCGTAAAATAACAAATATCTATATAAAATACTGAGTTTTTTGGGGGTCATGGCCCCCTGACTCTATGCTGGCTCAACCACTAGAATCAGAATAAGATAACTAAAGAAAAAGTAGTAGTACTTACCTCTTCTATTGGGATTTGCACCATAGTCTAAAAGTTGGAGCACACATTCTAAACTACCCTTTGATGCTGAAATATTCTGCACATAACAAAAACAAAGGCCTTAAAAAAATATTGCATATCAAGAAGAAAAAGAAAATAAAAGAAAGAAAAAAAAAAACCCAATACGATACACGTAAAAAAAATATACGTACCAAAGCGTTGCGACCGTTGCTATCCAATTCATTCGGGTCCAAACCCCGTCTCAACAAATGGTGAAGCAATAAATCATCCTCTCTCGAAGCCGCAAAACACAAGCTTAGAGGCACGTCCATTCTTCCGTGCGCGAGCATATGCTCCGTATCCGTAAGAATCTCTTGCATCACGGGATCTTTTTGCTCTTTCAAATGCTGCACCCCCCGAAAAAAAAATAAAAAAAAATCAATGTAATAAAATACTTAATCAAGAATCAACACTTATTTATTATTATTGTTTCTTTTAATACCTGAAGAAGATTGTTCATGATTATGGTGCCATCTGCAACATTAGCTTGAAGGATATTTAAAAACGCCGTACGGTTCAAACGAAGAAGCTGGCTCAACCGTTTCGTACGAACGGTGAAAATTTGCGGCCTATAGCAAAGAACACCTACTTCACCACACACATCCCCTGTCTTGCACTCTCCGACAACCTTGTACAATACAAATCATCATCAATTTATTATTTTTAGATCCATTAATTTCGAAAAATTAATGTATCTATCTAGGTTTAAAAAAAATACTTATTTACCTGTTCGATTCCGTTTCTATGTTTTATAAGCTCCTGCAAACGCAGCAGCCGAATTAGAGTTCCTCTAAAAATAATCGCATAAACGACGTACATTGAATATAGAGAGAAGAGAGAGAGAGAGAGAGAGAGAGAGAGAGAGAGAGAGAGAGAGAGAGAGAGAGAGAGAGAGAGAGAGAGAGAGAGAGAGAGTACCATTGCCCCGTTAACCAAAATGTACAAATCCGTAGGCGCCTCGTTTCGTAAAATTATATCTTCCCGAGGCGGAAAATACTCTGCTTGCATTTCCGAAACCTACAATATAATCAAGAATCAAGAACATGAACACGAAAACATTTCGTTTTTTTTTCATGCAAATAAAAAAAAACACCGAGTTTATTATTACCAGCTGAAATAGTAGATCATTCGACACCCCTTGGAATAAATAAACCTTATCGACGAGCGAATAAAAAAGAAAATGCAATATACTCGAACGGATCGCCTTCGGAAGAGCATCGAGGGTTTCTTGCTGCTGCAGCCCTTCGGAATCGGTTCTATACCTAAGACTCAAATGCGCTATCATCTGATCTTGCAAACGTGCCGGCAGATGATTCCTTTTCGCGAAGCTCGATGCTGCATTTAGACCTTCTCTCTAAAAAAAAAAATTAATTAATATCTCGAAATTAATAAAAAAAAAAATTGAGATTATATTTTTTTTTTTGTGTACTTACAAATTTCCTAGTTCTGAAAGTTGCTTGGACAATCAAGTTTGTCATGTTTCCTATGATGTAGGAATTGAGACCGAGGTTGAATAATACGAAGAAAATGTCGAACACCATTTCGCCCGTGTTGACAGGGTGTAAGTCTCCGTATCCGGTGGTTGTGGCGGTGACTATTGACCAATAAATAGATATTACGTATCGGTCGAGTAGAGGCTCTTGATGGAAATCCGCCATCGAAGAACCGAGCCACGTCTTTTTTGGGTCGGGGTACCTGTCAGCTAGAAGATAAAAGAAGCAACCCGCAAAATGAACCTCGAAAAGCACCACCTACAAAACGAGAATACGCTAGTTACTATCGTAAATTCTTCGTACTCGCCAAAAAAAAAATTGTTGTTCGTTTTTTTTATAAGACACTTACGAATGTAAGCTTAAGAACTCGAACGACGAAATAGTTGTAGTTCCTATCTTTCTCCAATCTGGAAAAAATATTAAAAAAATGTTATTTTTCGAGAATTGTAGTATATGGGCTCTACCACGCTGATCAAATCCTGGCTCCGCCATTGGTCTGAACTTTATCATGTCTAAGTACAATGCGTATATTATATATGTATTGTACCGTTGAAACATTGCGCCGACTCGTCTGAGACGCCAGAGACGAAGAAGACTGACGTAGCCGTACGATTCGACGTTAGAGGGTAAGATTTTATGAGCGAACTCTGCAGGTATAGTGGCTATCACGTCGAAGATTAACCATGTTTTTGCGTACCGCAGTGCGATCTGCTTTCTGTCGTCGACGATGAGATAAGTTGTTTTGTCGAGGTAGGCGACGAAGAATGTGAGGACGATGTCGATGGCGAAGAATCCGTTGACGACGTTGTCGGTGATGCTAAGGGGCCCGTTCGGCCCGATATTGAAACCAAATTCGAAAGGGGACACCCATGCCGTGTAGAAGACGAGCACTACAAGGAATGTATCCCATGTTCTACAAATTATGGCAATGGTTTAATTCGAAACTTCCCGTAAACACAATAAACTCATCATTAATCGAAGAAAGTAAAAAATGAATCGAAATGAAAAATACTTTGTTTTTTCGACCATCGTTTCGAGTTCTATTGCATTGTAGCTTGGATTTCGCTGCCGAAACGAATAAATTTTTTAAATTGTTAAAAAAATAACTAGAATCTTAGTACAATAATGTGCAAAATATTATCACAAATTTCAAATTTGTAATATTTTTTTTTTAAATGTTAGATATAACTAGAATCATAGTACACTAATATGCAAAATATTATCACAATTTCAAAATTGTGATACTATGTAAATATATATTTTTACTTCCATTGCACATTTATTTAAATCTTAATAAACTATTACAAATTATGATTTGTTTTCCCCTAAAATAAAAAAAAAAAAAAATCGCCAAAACCAACGGCGCGGTAACATTTGCTCCCGTTCCAGTGAACAATAAATGAAGAAGCAAAACACAAAGTAACGCAGACAACAAATGTTATAAGTATAGGTTTATTAATATAAGTACACACAATATAGGGCGTACGTAAATGTTACGTATATATAGGTTTGTACGTACGTACCGGTAACGAGGATCAAGATAAGAGATGATGAAGGGACGAAGCTTGACCCTACGGTTGCTATGAACGCCAAGTGCCGGTAGAATCCCACTCGAGACGCTGTGCGAGCTTCTCTCGTCTCGAGACACCCTCTCTATTTCACTCTCTATCTCTTTCATCCCGCACATCGACCCCCTCAATTTTTCGTTTATTAGTGATTTTCCCACCACCATCTTCTTTCTTGTTTTTTGTTACCTCATCTTCTCTCTCTCCCCATTTTCTTTTTCGCTTCGTCGCCCGCCGCGTTTATTACAATCGAACGGTGTCAATTGTGGTTGCGTTGTTGTTGTTGTTGAGGGAATTTGGCGTCCATTTTTCTGTTATTTGCAGCCCTGTTTTCTCTCTCCCTCTCTCTCTGGTTTTGTTTTTGGAGTTTATTTCTCTATTTTCCCCCCTTTTTTTGCTTTGTTCTGTTATGACTAATTGTGACTGTATGACAATTGGCATGTATTTATTTTACATTTTTTTCTTTTGTTTCATTTTTTTTTTATATGGTGATTGGTTTTTGGGCATGCATTTCGAGGTTGGTTTTTCTTGTTTCATTTATTACCTCATCAATTCTTTATATAGCAACCAATTTTTTCAAGATCCCATGTACCTAATAAATGCTAACTGTAAATTACGGCCATTGTTTGAATTAAAATCAAATTACGAAAAAAATCATTTTATTTGTGTAATTTTAATCACTTTTCACTATGAATTTACTTACACATTCAGTTTTCCGGTGTCAAATTCAAAAGAATTTTTTAAATTTCGTGGAATGTTCTCTAATTTGTAGTCGTTTTATGTAAAAATGTGCACTACAATCTGATATTTACAAGCTAAGAGATACATCTTATGATCATCTTGTTTAAACTGCATGTAGAGCTCGAATGGGATAAAACGGGTACAAATCGGAGAATATTCCACATATATAACCTAGAAGATTCTATTAAATTTGACACCGTAAGGGTGGACGTGTAAGAAGATTCATAGTTGAGAGGAATTGTTGTACTCACCCAAAAATGAGGGGTTTTTTCGTTATTTAACCTTCCCTCAGGGGGTTAGCCGTAATTTACCCTAAATATTATTGATACTTTTTTTTTTTTTTTGAGAAAAAATATTATTGATACTTAATAACTGTAATATTGCTATTTTTTACTTTAATAAATGTATGAAAATATAATCACTCATAAATCATATATATTAGAAAGAAAAAAATATTACTCAATGTTAAGAAAATCATATTACATGAATAATTCTTTACGTTGGTTAATCTATTGCACGAATCATAATAATTAGGTTAACCAACGACCCTATTGCATGGATCTTTAATACTTTTTTTACGTAGAAGATTAACGCATTTCAACAACCTATATTTGTCGTCAAAATGTTGGTCGAGAATAAAGTAATGAATAATGAATTAAAAAAAAGAAATGAAAAACGTCTCATATATTTTGTCTCATCCATGCAGATGTCAATATCTAAGATATCTCCAAATTAAAGCCCATGCAGCAATGTAAAGCTTTTGTAGATAAGTGTAGTTTGTTTTGCACGTTATTGCTTACTATAAGAGACCAAAAACATTGGATGTAATCAAAGATTTATTGACAGCTCATATATTATGGAATAATTCTCGGAGATTCCAACATTAATTCTACATAATTATTATTTATTGACAGCTCAGTTTTCTAGTCACGTTTTTTCGTCCGGAAACCCATCCACATGAGTGGCTCCAACTAACCCAACTCAAAGCACAATCATCGAAACCCTAGATCTGACTAGAATCACGAATCACTCAGTTTTTTTTTTTTTTTGTCAATACTAACTCTCACCCACTCTCCCAATCTCACTGATTATGAACTTTCTCAGCTCGTGTTTCCCTCACTCTGAAGTGGATCACTGGATCACATGACTCGATCGCTCACCGAATAACATAAATATGAAAAAACTAGGAAGAGATTCAAAAGAGGCGGTTCTACCTCTCTTACTCATAGACTGGTTTGCTATATAGATGGAAAATGAAATTTGTCTCTAAGTAGAGATCAAAAACGGTACAATTATCGTTGTAGTCAAACGGGCACGTTGTCAGAAAATGCCAAGACGCATTCAATGCGGTGGTACGACCAAAAGATTGAGAGGGGAGCAAAGATAAAAAAAAAATAGGATTTAGGAGATCGATAACCAAAGGCCGCTAAATACTTCAAATGGATGGTGAGGATCAAAACAGACAGAATTAACGGTCAAGATTGAAGAATCTAAATAGCTTTTAGGGCTTGATCGATCACTTGGACTTTTATGTTATTGGGCTTTGAGTGTTGGACCGCAGATCCACTCAATTCTAGTGATTGCTATTTAGAATTTCACACTTCATTCAGTTGCTCTCTTCAGGCCCATTCTCTACAGTTCTCTACAGTTTCAACTAAAAACGTACATCTGCATAAAGTCGCTGTTCAGCAAAAACAAAACCCAGAAAAAAGGCACCACCATTAACGTAGAATATAGAAATCACCAGAAGAAGAAAAAAAATAGAGTGAGAAATGGCGACGGCAATCTCCAAATGGATCGTTGACCCGAAGCGCAACCCGCTCGCTGCATACCACATGAAAACCCTATCCGGTCGACTCAGCAAATACGGTACATTTTCCGGCGGCGTGTTTTGATGAAGAAATTGATTTTCCGATTTCTACAATTTTTTTTTTGATTGTGTGATTGTGAAATTAGGGCTTAGGTACGACGATTTGTACGATCCGATGTACGAGCTGGATGTGAAGGAGGCGATGAATCGGCTGCCGAGGGAGATTGTGGATGCGAGGAATCAGCGGCTCAAGCGCGCCATGGATCTCTCCATGAAGCATCAGTACCTTCCAGATGATCTTCAGGTGATTCTGTGATTACACTCATAATTGTTTATTTAATTTTTTTGGTGAATTTGTTGTATGTGTTTGATTTTTTTTTTTTTTTTTTTTTTATGTCTACTGTGGTTGATTTTTAATTCCTGAAGAAATGTGGTAACCGAAACGAAAATATTCTTCGAATGTACGAATCGGCTTTTGTTAGTTTCGCTAATGTAAATGTGGTTTTTTGTTTCCTTTAAAGTAAACTAACAGTGTTCTTGATCTACATTGAAGCAATATGATTTATTTCACTTAAGTTATATGCTTGACCCGATTGGTCAATCACGTAAATAATTCTAATTGCAAACGAGTTCACCCGTAAGAGTGAGCTTCTTGTAACAAACTATATCCTTCATCATCTGTCTTTTTTCGTTTTTGCTTAATGTTTTGGTTGTTTTGGTTAACTGTATCGTCACAGTATTTTTCAGTTCGTGAAATCTAGTATTGTTTGTGGGAACGATCTATTTTAATGCATTATTCGATCAAGCGGACAGTGTTCGTTGTATTTTGCCTTAGTGTAGAGCAAGATCTTGTCTTCTAAGGCCTCGTTTGGTTGGGGAGATTAGCCATGATTAACTAAATAATAGGACATTGTTTCATGTTTGTATCCCCAATAACTTGCCGGGTCGACCCGCAATATTATGTTGCCTTTCAGACAAGTTTTTTTTATTTGATCATCGAAGGTCCAATAATATAATTGGGTTTCATTAAATTATTTAATCTTATCTTGGCAACCAAACGAGGCCTAAGCATGTTGTTTTACTTATTATTACTATCTCTTCTTTGTCGCAGCGTATGCAAACACCATTTAGGAGCTACCTCCAGGAAATGCTAGCTTTTGTAAGTGCCTTTACTGCTATGTTGTGTACCGAATCAAGAAATATAAGTATAAGGATTTTGCAATATTCAATTTTACTGATTTTGTAGGCAGTTACTTTATCGTATTAATTTGATCCTAGTTCACTATAAAGTTGACGAGCTTTTTATCCCAAAATTCTTTGGGGAGTCCACTGTCATTGAGCTTTGTGTTAATGATCCATTTTTTGCTTCAATCCTGAAATCTCTGCTTATGGCTTTGAAGTTCGAGAAAATTAGTTGGAGACAACTAAAGTTATCGCACCCCCATTGAACATAATTTTTTTGTTCTTCGTTTTTTATTGAAGTTTTATCTCCTGTATTTCTACAGGTTAAGAGAGAGCAAGCTGAGCGTGAAGCGCTTGGTGCTTTACCACTTTATCAACGCACCTTTCCTTAAGCGGATTGATTTATGTGTCGGGGCGGCCTATTATTGAACATACATCTCATATGGTAAAACAGAGGAAATTCATTTTGGTTGTTTTTTTGTTTGACTTATGTTTTCGATTGATAATTCATTGAGCAACAGTCTCCTTTTTTGTGTTTTATAGGAAGCTTTCCACCAATTGATATCTGGGATTTGAATTATGTCATCTCAGAAGCCTTTTCATTCCACCATTCATCTACATGCACTAATATGGATGGTGCGATTGTGCGTTTTGTCTCAACGAATTATATCAAATTCCCGGTAGTACTTAACCTTGTCTAGCATGCGAAAAACATCTGTATACAATGCTAGATATAATATTTACGACGAGTAAAGTTATATGTCTTCAAGTTCCAAACCAATTATTTCAATTTTTGGCTTAATTGTATCCTAATAAAAAAATTACAAACTCCTCGGACAAACTTATCTGTATTCAGAAACTTACTGCTCTTAGTTATTTGCTTTTAGTTATTCAGATATTGATTCAGTATTCAACGTTCAGCACTTAATCCTATCAAAAGTAGCGTAGCTCCTTCGTGTCAAGACATTTCAAATATTCCTCAAAACATTCAAATAAATCAATGAAGCCAACTGAATCGAAGATGCCTTCGACGATAGAGTGGAGATACATTGAATCAAGCCTCACAAGAAGCAGGAAAAACAAAAAAAAACAAAAAAAAAAAGTTCAGTGAACACTATGCAAGATCTTTAACAAGCATACCCTTGTTCTACTGCTTCTTTTTTATTATTATTAATTTTGTTTCTAGATAATTCCAACGAGCCAAAGGGTGTCGGCATTTTCATCGAACTACGACGTTAGGAACATCCTTCTGATTTCGCAAATGAATTGCTGGTGTCCCTGCATTCATCCACACATGTTCTAAACTTACCAACAAACCAAAATCCCCATTTAAAAGAAAATCTAGTTTTTTAAAAGGAAGAAAAAGGGGAGAAAACAAACCATTCACTTGATCGAGATTCGCTACAACCATAATCCTTCAATTCTCGATTAACACGCGGACGGATGATTTGACTCGGTAGCACTTTTGCCTTTGACCCTCTCCTCGTCGAACATCCCTGTAATGGAGTTCAAGATTATGCTATATTAGCATTGCTAAATGCAATACTTTAATATCAAATCTTGATCTCTCTATATATATATGTATGACTACACGTATTTGGTACATTAACGGGTCGATTTTGGGGCCTAAAGCCCGTCAACCAAGAGGGACTAGATGATGGTGAACGGACCTCGCCTATCTCAGGAATCGGGCAAAATTCGTTCCAGCTTCTGGGTGCACCCTGTGCTGAAGTAGTCGTACATTGTGATACCGGAGTAGGAAAGCTGATTCCATTCCATGGTGGCATTACGTAATTCCCGGGATAGTTCTGAATTGATTGAGCTGTCGACGATGATGATGTTGACGCGCACAATCCGGAATGCCTCATCGGAACATTCATCATCGAATGAAGACCAGGAATGCCCATTCCCATCGTTCCAATTCCAATCCCGTATTCATCGGTTGGTGGGAATTGAGGAAGGGTGGGAATCTGCATCCCGGTTTGCGGCATCATAAACGGAGAGTGGAACATGGAGAAACCTGCTCCCATTGACATCATCTGCTATTCCCTCAAATTATAATCAGCATTGCACAATATATATATATATACAAGGAACATATAAAATTTAAAAAAAAAAAAATTGTTCCGGGGTGGGATCTGTCCATAAATAAATAAATAAAAATCGAATACATGAGTATTTGTTGTGTCGAATTTCGAAAAAAGCAAAAGCCTAAACAAGGGCTGAAAAAAGGGGGAATAGACCTGAACTTGATTTTGTAAGGTCTTTATATACTTCATAGCTTCATCAAGAACATGTCCTTTATCTCTCTCCAATTTCACAATGGATTGATTATACATCACATGAGAGAGAAAGTAGAGAGAGAGAGAGAGAGAGAGAGAGAGAGAGAGAGAGAGAGAGAGAGAGAGAGAGAGAGAGAGATGAAAAAGGTTAACAAGCAATAATTTCAAATATTGGGTTAAAAATACCTTGTCACAGTTGGGAATCAATTCCCGGAGGGCTTTCATTTTTTCTTGAAGTTTTTGTCTCCGCATCTGTTCATCAAAAAAAAAAACATTATTTAAAAAAATAATAATATATAATATTAGCAGTACTATAAAATGAAAACTCTTTAGTTAGTGTGAATTGATTCGTATGAATATTCTTCATTACATTCTCTGTGATTGATTGTTGTTCATTTGAAATTTTTAATTTATGAGGTTTCTTCTTCATCGTATTGCTGTAATGAATCGAACCCTATGTTGAACCGATGTCTGAATGCATAGTAAATTAGGGCTTTAATTGATTAATTATCTATTACATACATGCATATTTTTTTTCCCCCAAAAATCAGGGCTTTGAAATTTAATTAGGTTGCTTGTGATTTGGGGGGTTTTTGGTAGAGGGCATTGTGAGATCAATTGGAGTAGGTTTGGCTAATTTAGGAAGTTGTGGGGCTGAATCGATCGACGGGAATTAGGGTAAATTTTTCTGACTAAATCGATCGGTTATCAAACGAAACTTCTACGTATATGCAATTGATCGAACACAGTTCTTCTTATGCATTGTTGGTATTAGGTATCTAGACTTCATGTTAAAGACATGGGATTTTTTAATTTTTTGTTTTTTTATTTAATTATAAATTAAATCGATTCATTGTGACATTCTTCGTCTTCGACAACTTGAGCAAAGTAACACTATCTGGATACCCCGTTTTTTCGTCGTAAAATTGTCCCGTGGAATTTGGTTCTCATAAATTGCTCTATCACATAGTGTTTTTTTTTTTTTTTTTTTTTTTTTTAAATTACTTCGAATTTTTCATTTCATAGAAGGAAGCAAGTAGCTTATAAGCAGGTTACGCAGCAACTTATTTGCTCTAAATTAGCTACAAAGCATTTATTTACATGCTTCTGTTCACTATATTTTCATAAATACTGCATATATATATATATATATATATATATATATATATAGAGAGAGAGAGAGAGAGAGAGAGAGAGAGAGAGAGAGAGAGAGAGAGAGAATCAAGAATTAATGAATCAGAAATTTCCCATTAATTAAATTACTCACCCTCTCATTCAGGTTATGCACTTCAGTAGATCGACTTCGTTTTCGTCCCGTGCAATCGCAACCCGCCTCGTATTGTTCGTCTCCCACTCCATCTCCCTGATTCATTCATTGATTGATATATCATAATACAATCCAAGATTTAACATATTAATATATATATATATATATATAGAAAAAATCGAGGACTTAATTAATGAACTCACATCAATTTCCAATTTTCGTTTCATCTCTAGTAAATCTGCACGAGCTGTATGCTTCCTTTTGGCGCCACTCGATTGCCCCTTATTAGCCGAGGTAATCTCCTTCAAACGGGGAATCGATCCTACTGGGGGACTAATAACCCCGAAAGTCGAGAGATTATCACTTAGCATAAAATCGGAATAACAAGCAGCTGCCTCTTCCATTGAAATGCTTGGAAAACTTTGCTGCTGATTATCAGTTTGAATCTGGGCCGTCCAATTTTCATCACAATCTTGATCTTCTGGTGAGAAAAACACCCCATCATGATTGCCATCGTCCATCCTCTATAAAAAAAGAAAGTTTTTTTTTCCTTCTTTTTTCTGCCTGCAATTATTTTTTTTATTTATAATCTTAAATTTATAGACATGGATTATTATTACTTCATGGGTGTTTGTTTTGACATATGATGACAGTACTTTTTCTTTTATAAGATTTCTTCAGGTTTTAACAAACTGATTGGAAAAGCGCACCGATTTTTGTACTGCTGTGGAATTTTTTTATTTTTCTTGATTGGTGTTTATTTTATTATTATTTATCTTTTAGGAAATACTTTTTTTTTTTTTAAGAAATTGAGAAACAATATGTTTATTTAGAAATAAATAGTGATTGGAAGATTGAAATATATATATTTTGGGAAAAGAAACTTGCTAAATAGGTTTACTTCACTGGAGGGCTAAAATGTAATTTCACAAAGAATAAATACTTGTTTAGCGCAGGATGAAGGATACTTGTCGTACAACTGTGCTTCCATGTGGCGGGAAAATTGGCCTTTGGCTGGGGTGACACGCCCTTGTAGCGTCGCTTGATTTTCCGCCATCCAAATATTGTATGTTACTATTATTATTTTAATATTTATTTTTATTGATTTATTTTTAATTTTCTTGATTAGAAAAATGGCTGTGGATGTGGCTTCTGATTACAAAATTTGTCATTCACTGTATCTGAAACTTTATTTTATTTTCCATAAATATCTCGCCGCTTGGATATATATATATGTATATATATATAAATTTTTTATTTTTTTTTTATATTTATTATCAGGTAGTATATTGATTTTTATTTAGACTGTACATCAAATTAGGGTGTAGATATATATATTTATATAGTATAATAGTAATATTAATACTACAAATTGAAAGTTAAACTTGTTGAAAAAATAAGTTTGATGCGAATAATAATATTTAGAATTAATTATTATGTCTGTTCCATAATAACTCTTTTTTTTTTTTTTTAATATTTTGTTTCATATTGTCTCACTTTAGATTTTCAATACTTTAAAATAGTTTATGTTATTTATTTTCTTTAACCTTGTTAATTTAGCCATAAATCGTAATTGTCTATTATCACATCATTAAATGATCAAGGTTATTTTAGTTTTTATAATGTATTTTTTTCTAAAATTAAAATATATTTATTGAGATTTTTAATACTTGTGCAAAACTAAAAACAAACAGTTAATTATGAACCAATGAATGGCGTGTATTTATTATGTTTACTTTAGTTTAAAAGAGTAGTAGTGATGTATATTAATCGCTTTTATTTAAATGTGTGTGTGAGTTTGACATATTATAAGCTCCTTTTAATATCGTATAAGCTCTAAAATATCTTCAAATTAGAGGGTATTTCGTTAAGCTTATAAGGTGTTAAAAGGAGCTTATAAGCCTTTTCAAAGTATGTGTGAGTTTGATAACTTATAAGTTCTAAAACATCTTATGGTCTTCTTTTATCATCTTATGAACTTAGCCGAACAGACTCTAAGCGTAGATAGACTATAGATTAAAATAGTTATTTAATGCGGGGCGAAGGAAATTGGAACTTGCAAAATCAGACATTCCTCGTGTGTTTTGTCCCACGTGCATTTGTTTGCATGTAGTAATTTGTATATAAATGCAGCCCCTCCATCAGATTGTCCTAATTTGATTGTGATATTAAAAAATATATAAATAAAAGCTGTTTTCACAAGGGTTACTGCGGTGGGAGAAAGTGAATTTCTGTCAATTGACCTAAGTTCGAATTCACTTAAGCTAACGGTCGTTAGGTCGAACTTGTCACATATGGTTAGTCTAATGTAGTTTACGTCTCTCATATGGTTTACAAGCTATTATACAAGAGTTTAGGATTTCCCAGTGCACAATTTAATGATTAATTGCGGGCAGGGGCGAATCCACTCATTTGGGAGGGTGGACTCAAGCCCACCCTTAAATTACAAAATGTTTCACATATTATACTTATATATCTATTCAGCCCTCCCAATATTTATTAATTAGCCCCACCCTACATTCAATTTAATGCAAAGAAAAGCCCCGATTATTATTAATTAGTCCACCAAGAATTCAAAATTATGCAAAAAAAAAAAAAAACCCTTTTTTCTTTCTTTTTTTCCCATTTTTTTTTATTTTGTCATAAAAGTCCTAATTTTTTTCGGGGGCGCTGCCTCCGTACCCCCGAAAATTTAAGTCTACCCAGTATGACATTCCTGAACTCGCCACTGGCTACGGGTTTCGTTATTACCGAAATATATATATATATATATATATATATATATATATATATATATATATATATATATATATATATAACCCCTTTTTTTTTGGGAAAATTGGTGGGAGGGGAAAAAAAAAAAAAAATGGGCCCTTGATAAAATATAATACAAATCCTGATTTTTATACCCTTAAAAAAAACCCGTTCTGGGTTTTTTTTCCCCCACCCCAAAAAAAAAAAAAAAAAAAAAAAAAAAAAAAAAAAAAGAATTTCGAGCACCGCTTAAAAACAGTACTTTAGAACATACACCCCAGTAAAATATATCATATAGTTTTACACGATTGATTTATACATAATAGTACACATTTATGTATGTGTGCAATGTGTCTAGTGGATAGTTATTTACGTAAATTTATAGTTTTAAATCACACGATGTATTTTACCAACCTATGGAATGAAATGAAAAAAAAAAAATAATAAGTGAAAAATAATTAATTGAAGTAGTAGCCTACAAATTGTCACATAGTGTATTGGGGCCAAGTATTAGCAAGTACACTTATATTCATGCACCTTCATTTTTAGATGCTTCTTTTTATGCATATATGTATACGTGTCTGCCTCTTGGCACATATTCAATTCCCATCATTTACTCTAAACCCAAATTATATATATTTATTTATTTTTCTTTATTTTTTTGAATAGCCACCAATTAAAAGTTTCATATAAAGCCATAAATCAAATTCCCTAAATTAAATTAAATTAAATTATGTTCTTCGGTGTGTTTTCATGTTTGTAGAGGCAGAGATGTATGTAATGGCTGAAGGTAATTAATTAACCACTTCTTTCTTCGTACTAACTGATTATTAATTGTTTTATCGAACCCCATTTTTTTTTATGCTTCAGATTTTTGGCCAATATTATACATTATATATACATAAGTTGTGAACTTCGAACATAGGATATGGATCTGTTAAAAAAATTGAAATTTGAAAAAAAAAAAAAAGATAAATGATAAATAATATGATGTAGAGGTGGTGGTGTTAAATAGTACTATTTCCCTGATTTGAAATTTGTGCCTAATTTGATTTTTGGATTTCAATGTGTAAATCGGAATAGAATTGAGATTCTGATGCATAATTTGTTTGTGTGGATAGTAATAGAGACATGTGATGAAATGAACAAATAAATGTTTGTATTTACGAATATCAAGATTGTGTTTTTAATTTATTTATTTTTATGTGTTTATGTGTTTAATTCATTTATATGGATCTAGATTTTCGAGCTCGATTTCGATTTTTTTTTTCTTCTCATAACCTTTTTTTTTGTGTGTAATGCTCGAAAATATGAATTTTCGTTCTTGTAATTAATGACAAACTCTCTAATGAAAGCCTCTGGGAGGCTAAAAATGGAATTAATAGAGGTGGGTGTTTGTTTAATTTGGTTAAGTATATATTAAACATCTTATAAGTTGTTTGATAAGTTGTTTTAAGAGCTTATAAGCTGTTACGCTCGTCTTATTTTTTAAATTAGTTTTATAAATATTTGGATAATGAGCTTATAAGTTATTTTTAGTATATATATATATATATATATATATATATAAGATTTTAAATAAAAAACATTGGGGTTATATGTTTTTTTGGTTAAAAAGATCTTTTGAAGAGTGTATACGCACTTAAACATTTATCAAACATTTTATAAAGATATTTTTAATAGCTTATAAGTTTAGCTAAACAATCCCTTACGATAAGCAAGGGCAGAAGCAGATAATTTTGATTTGGGGGATATGATTATAAGTAGCCCTCGAGCAAAAACGATAAGGGATTGGAAAATCTATGTAAAAAAGTTGTTGGAACTTGTAATCAAATTGCAACATTTCGAACAATAAACTACTTGCGCACAACAGATTTGATCCTAAGTTTAATTTCTTTCGTCTTCGAATACGAGGAGATTAAATAATCCAACTAGCATAGATTATGCACAAACATGTCTTTGTCACACGGATTTAATTAGCTAGCTAGCTCGGTTTGTTATGACCGCTTTCTGTCGGGCTAGTAGTCTCCCCTTGCGTTGCAAATTGGGATCCGATCCATGGTTCCATCGCGTTACCTGGATTTGGTAATCCTGATGCCCATGGATTAGATAATCCCATGGGATACGCCATTCCCATTCCCATTCCCGGAAAAATGCGTAGGAATTGAGGAAGAGTGGGAACCTGCATTCCCGGTTGTGGTGGTTGCATCATCCACGGGAAAACAGGCACGGGGAAACTTGCCGACCCCGTCGTCTGCTTCTCCTGATCAAGAATATAATCTCGAGAATTAATATTCACATGGAAAATTTAATTAAATGAAGTAAAATATTTATAGTATGTGAATATATATATATATATATATATATATATATATATATATATATATATATATAATACCTGAACTTGATTTTGTAAGATCTTTATGTACTCTATAGCATCATCTAGGGTTGCCTCTTTGTCTCTCTAGAAATAAGAAAATAATACTAATTATGAGAAATGTATTATGTAGGAGTAGATCATCTGAACTTAGTATAATTCTATAAAATTAATAGGGAAATAAAAAAATTAAAAAAAAAAAAAAAAAAAAATAGGAAATAAAAAAAATTAAAAAATTAAAAAATAATAACCTTATTACACTTGGGAACTAGTTCTTGGAGAACCTTCAGCTTTTCCTTAAACTTCCGTCTCCGTAACTTGTCGTACACACACTTGATAAAATTAGTTATAAAATTAGAAGCAAGTAATCTAAAATTAGGTGCTATAAATAAAAAAACAGAGTTTATCAAATATATACCATAAAAAAAAAAATTTAAAAATTGTAATGTACGGTTGAACCTCTATAAATTCATACAGTCGGGACTAGGGAAATTCTATTAATTTAGCGAAGTATTAAATTATTGAGTTAGTAATTTAACGTATTTCCACCGAGTCGGGACCGAGATAAACTATTATTTAAACGAGGTTATTAATTAATTTATCGAGGTTTTACTGTAGTATATGTTATTACTGTAAAGCTGGTTAAAGAACTCACCCTGTTGTTCAGGTTATGTACTTGAGCATAGTCATGTGTTCTTTTAAGCTGTTTGCTTTCCTCTTTAGCTCCATCTTCCTGCGATTAAAATACGCAAAAATTACGTACGTAGGTACAATGAAAAAAGACTTCTCGAAACGGAACATAAAAAAAGTACTCTTAATTCCGACTCACTTCACTTTCTTCTTTCTGCATATCCAGGTAATCGGAAGCAGTTTGTTTCCTTTTCGTACCAGCACTGGATGATTGTCGATTATCAGTCGAACAACCATGCAAAAGAATATTCTCCCCCGGAAAGGGAATCAATTCATTCGTTTCTTGGAGCAGCAGAGGAGAAGTATTAGTTGTCGAAAGATCAACACTACTTAGCATATAGTTGTTGGAATAACGAGCTGGCGCTGCCTCGTGAACCCTGGATCCCGTTATCCGATTCTCGTGACCTGGATTACTCGATTGTTGTTGAAACGGAAGGGACGAAGCTGGAGCTTCCACTATAGCAGACGAAAGATCGTTTAGTATGTGGGAGTAAAGAGCTGCTGTCTGGTTATAAGCTTCTTGTAACGAAATGGCCGAGAAATTAGGTGGCGGTGGACCCCACACACTCAGCGGATCGTCGCGGATTGTAACCAGCGGCATGTCGTAATTACCGGTTTGCCATTTTCCGTCGCTTTCTTGATTTTGTGATGGGAAAAACATCCCGTACGACGGAGGGTTTTGATCACTCATTCTTCTTCTAATCTGATTTTTTTTTTCTTTTCGTACTTTGGTGTGGACAGTAAGTAATGCTTGATTGAGTCTGAAAATTCGGTGTTAGAGAAACTTAGTACGAACGACGTTTTTATAGAAAAATATGTTAGTTCGGGAGACTTACGGAGGCAACAAATTTAGCCTGGAAAATTTTAATGTGTAAGAGTACTGAGTAAGTTGCTTGTTGATGTTGTTGGGAATGAATGAGCCTATGTCTCCTCTGCCCTTTTGTCTTGGATTTATTTGTCCTTTGTCTTCTTTTATTTCGAATTCTTAAAAAAATAATTAAATTTAGATTTTTTTTTTAAAGATTGGTGTTTAATTTATTAGCAAAAATTCTCATATAATGCATTTTTTGGAAGTAGATAATCCCTTGAATGGTGTGTTTTTAAGGGTAGTTTGCTTGGGAATGTTTTTTTTTTTTTTTTTTTTTTTTTTTTTTTTTTTTACTAATAAAATAAATATAATAATTAGAGTAAAAATTGAATTATAATTTTCTATTGTCTCCCCTCTACTGCAGGGCCTTCTCATTCTGCTTTCTGCTTAACTTTTGTTGGAAATTATAATTTTGGTCCTACACTTAGCAGAACACACACACAAAAAGGAAAGGTTCGTCTGTACATTTCCAATTTTTTATTTCAGATTATCTATCATTTTATATTTCTAATACTGCATTTAATGTATGTTTTCCTGTTTTAACCTTATTAATTCATCTATAAGCATTAACTCTCTCTTATAATCATTAAATGATTGAAGGTTGTTTTAGTCTTTTTATGCATTTTTTTTTCTCGTAAAATCAAGATGTATTTTTACTCAAAAAAAAAAAAAAATCAAGACGTATTTATTGAGTTTTCTAGATTTGTGCAAAGGTGAAAAACAACCGATATTTAGAAACTGAGAGAATATTTCTTAATGCATGGCAGGAGGAACAAACATTTGTCATTTGATAGAGAAGATGAAACAATGTAATAACTTATTTGATTAATGTATTGAGCTAATTTGAGTTAACTTATGATGACTAAATACATTGTAAAATACTTTGCATAGAAGCAAGCCCATCTAATTGGTCCATATCTTTTTACTGAGGAGGTGGCCTTGTGACACTTATTTTCTACAATAATTGGACACAATATTCAATATTATATATAGAAAAACATTTTATTTACTTTCTAAACTCGAGTCAATATTTTTTTTCTCCTGCCAGGTGAAAAAAATGTATTGGTCAGTTTCAACGTTCAAATTTAGGTAAATTACGGTCACTCAGTGTTAAGGTCATATTACGAAGAAAAAAAACCTTATTGTTTGGGTAATTACAACCATCCGCCTCAACTATGAATCTTCTTACACGTTCATTCTTTCGGTGATAAATTTAGTGGAATCTTCTAAATTCTCTGAAATGTTTTGCTCAATAATACAGTTTTTGATGCATCAGAATATGATATTTACAAGGCAAGAGACACATCTTATGATCGTCTTGTTTCAAAATGTGGCGCTTGAATGAGGTAAAACGGGTACTAACTAGATAATACAGATAATCTAAAAGATTCCACCAAATTTGACACCGCAATAGTGAACGTGTAAGAAAATTCATAGTTGAGAGAGGGGTGATTATAATTATCCAAACATGAGGGTTTTTTTCTCGTAATTTGAGATTACCTCAAGGGGTGGTCGTTATTTACCCTAAAATTTACTATGAAATATTTTACTTTCGAATTATTAAGCACTTTGGAATTTCATACTACGATAAATGTATTTTCTTTTTCCTGTTTTACCGATATTTATTCAACTTTAATATTAATTATCTCTATTTCATCATTAAGCCGCCACGTGTTATTTCCTATTTTCTTTTATTATAAATTAATTAAATATATGAAATTAAAAAAATTCTTCTGTATATATATAGTATAGGAACTTGAAAATAAATATCTTGTGATTATACGTACAGGCTTCGCAGGTTGTCTTTGTTTTCTCCTGGTTCTTCATTTTAATATGATTTTATGAAACGCTGTCCATTTTTAATCCACATGAAACTGAATGGTCATTTGCTCAATGACGTGTCTTACAATACTTTAGTCGGTTTTTTTTTTTTTTTTTTTTTTTTTTTTGAATTATTATTATTTTTATTTCTTTCCGAATTGGTTTTTAATATAGCCTAAGTGGGCCCACTAATGGTGTTTACATATTGGGCCGATGGTTAATAGCCCATAACGTAAAGGAATATTCTTATGACCCAAACGCATTAAATTACAAATTTGAGCCCATTATATTAATTAAGTTTTAAGATGGTGTCCGCAAAAGCTTATTTAAAAGCAGAAGTTAGTGATTGTGAGTTAAGTTGGAATTAGTCCGCATGGGTGTAGCTCAACTGGTTCCGCAGGTGGTAAGTTGGTGCAATGTCCTAGGATCGAATCCTGTCAGCCGCAGTGTGGGAATTTCAACTTCAATGAGGGTTGATTCCTTGTGGGCACCAGGTCCGGGTCCGCTACCTTAACGTGCCGTTGAGATACCATGATTTACATTCCTCCATCAATCCTTGTCGGGCCAAGGGATGGGGGCCCTGGGGGCGAGGGATTTCGCCTTTTGGTGCGAGTTAAGTTGGAATTAAGTATTTCTTTCTAAAAGTTGGGGGTGTTTGCTAATTAGTTGGAAAATAAACTAAATTAGAAAAAAACAGATACATGGGTGCTTTTAAAATTATAGCTTAAAGCAGCTTATTTTAAGAGAAGCAAAAGCAAAAACTTGTTTTACAAACACCTAAAGACTGATCATGTGCAGAGAAAAGCTCATAAACTATTTCTAAAAGCATTTGCAAACACCACCTAAGTAGAGTTACACTATAATTAGGATTTGAAAACTGACCTAATCATAAATATAACCCAAGCTTCTAACTTGAGCACCGGAGAGGCTTTTGTTGGATCAATCCCGACTTATTAGTTCACGTGCTTCAATTTTGCAGGTTTTGTTATAACTCTGTGTTGATCCTATTTGATCGGATCATCTACACGTGTACATAAACCCACCTCTACATTCCCATCCAATCTCCGTTTGATTTACGGTCATTCCTCTTTATGGTTAAATGACAAAAAAACACTCTTGTTTGAGTAATTACAACATCCCTTCAACTATAACCCCTCCAAAGGTAAATTTAGGGATGTTAAATCGGTAGAACCGGACCAAAGTTTCGGTACGCCAACATTTCATACCGTTTACCGAACTGAATATACGATTTGGTTCGGTAAATAATCGAATTACATAAATTTTATGTAAAAATATTTAAAAGGGGGGTGACAGGCTTTAATTATCCAAACAAGAGGGTTTTTTTTTTCGTAATTTGGCCATACCTCAAGGGGAGCTATAATTATCCAAACACGAGGATATTTTCGTAATTTGGCCATACCTTAGTGTTAGAGTAGGTGACCAACAAGCCAACATGTGGCTGTGGTCTTTCGTATTTATTATGGTAATAAACGAACCTTTATTTGTATTAATGATAAAACACCTTGGCATTCTATATCCTTGTCCCTTTGTCACAAGCATAGATATAGTCCTTACAGTTATTACAAGTACTAGTAATTGATCGTTAGGATCGTGAGATATTTACTTAAGTATTATAACTGTTAAACGTCTTCCTAGTCGAAGGGTTACGCCACCAATGATGATATCGGCCTTTCCCATTAAGAGACTAGCACTTAGTGTATGTGTACTGCATCTCATCAGTAACCGGTATTGTGATATCGGCATTCATAAGTGGGTGTTCGTAAGTTGACGAGTTCACTGAACTCCCTCACCCTAGAAATCTCTAAGTGGTTCCCAATAATCGAGTAGAGATATCTATGGTATAGTTGTACACCATTAGTCCTTATGACCTAGACATCACCGTGACTTCAGTAGAGGATCGCGGACCAGCTGTATCGTGACCTGTCCCTGAGTTCCATCGAGGACCATCCCAAGGGCCAGTGTTCGTGCAGTCCGAAATCTAGTGGGAGGTCTGTGCATTGTAGTCTGGGATTCGATCGCTAGAATAGTCTTGGATGTCCTGTGTGTTCTGAAAGTTTGTAATCATTCTAAGTCTCTGGCCAGAGTTGACAAAGTGATGATTAGAGAATTTGATTATCTGAGTCATGTACGTAACGATTACAACACTAAGAACGGTTGCACCGTCATTAAACAAATAAAGAGGTCTCGACGAACCAATGCCTCTAGTTCAATCGAGACATATGAATCGAAGGGATTGTATTGTACGTTAACTATATCTTAAGGTTCTTGCAGGCACTTCATTTGTATCTAGGGAATCATGACGCGTATTGCTAGACGCCAATCTTGATTCGTTGGGTGATTAAGGTGAAACGAGCTTCATCTTAATCGTAACTCTAAGAGACGAGTTTTGACCACAAAGGGTTGTGGGCCCACGGCTAGCTTACACCTGAACCATCGAGGGTCACACTGCTCGTGCACATGAGATCTTGAATAAACGGTCAGAGATAAAATGATTTATCTTTGCATGATTGGAAGTCAATATAATTGGGTCCAACATTCGTAATTTGGAATTATGAATGAGAATAAGAAAAGGAAAAGAATAGGCAAACGTATTAGTGAACTTTCTAAATCGGGAAGTTTCCAAATTTAGAAAGTGCACTGAATTAGGGTTTCCACTTTTTGGAAAGTTGGAAATCGAGAGTTGGCACTCGTGGTGACGAGGACATTATAATGATTCCGAAAATATAATTGTTGCAATTTTCCGATCATCGAATTAAGAGAGAGACGAGCAAGTAAAAGAACTAACGAACTTAAGCTGTTGGGCCCAGTCCAACTTAAGCCCGTTAGGGTTTTATGCAAGACACTATAAATACTTGATTTATGGGTCTTGCACAAAAAAAAAAAAAACAACACACGAACCAAAAAACCCTAGCCGCTCCCTCTCTCACTCGGCCATCTTCTCTCGCGGCCACCACCGCCGTCGCCGCCGCCAACTCACCGGA